TGTATCCATCCTCTGTGTCTGGAATGGAATTAACACTTTGAGCTCTTTTGAACATCTTTTCTAGCTTGCTCACTTCCAGCGCTATTGGATCCACCTCAAATTCAAACGGTGTGTCCACTAGATTAGCCGGTGCTTTGGACAGCAGGGGTAGGGTTGGGGGTGGAACTGGCCTCGTTGGGACATCCGTATTTTCCTGGACATTTGCAGTCTCCCCGAGTGTCAAAACCCTAGGTGGGAGTGGAGGCGGACGCGAAGAAGATGCTCCGGCTTGTTGTGGTGGATGCTGCTGCTGAAGCCTGGCAATCAACTCTGCTTGTTGAGCTGCCACTTCTGCCTGATGTACAGTAACCTCTGCCTGGTAGGTGGCATCCCGCTGCATGGCCTGCATGGTTTCTTGGAGCTGATGCATCATGTCCTCCATACCGGCCATAAGGTGCTGATCTGTTCGAACAAATGTAGGTTCTCTTTCTCAGCCTAACTGCGCACAGGTGAGGTGGATATTAACCGTTGATCTGGGGACTGTTGAACTGGTGATCTGTGCCGGAGTACCCTTTTCTTGCGTTACCACTGGTGAAGGAAACACTGGTTGCCCTTGAACTGAATTTCTGACCAGACAAAGTCCATCAACAGAAGTCCGGTGTACCCAGGGGATATCAGAGCCTTCTGAAGCTATGGTTCCAGGACTACCTAGCAAAAGAGAAAACAGACAGCACCTCCACCTGATTTCACCAAAATAGATATGATCATAGCTGAATGACTGTGCTCTCTACTGAATTCTGCCCAAAATTCTGTCCTATAAATTGATACCCTCAGGCCGATACTCAGATTTGCAACTGATACATATAACCTGTAGAGACACACTCTGACAGCACATATCAAGCAAGTGAGAGCCAAAACACCCCTATGGTGGGGTAGAGTTTTCTTGTCCTATTTTGTCAGGAGCTAGGGTTTCACTACACATGCTTACGGTTTCGAACAACCTACAATCGGGTAAGCAACCTGTCCTAGTTTGGAATGGTCACTATGGCTTCCGATATGCAACTAGGTTGAATGGTCGAAAAGGGTGCTTCAGTGTTCCTATCGTGGCAGAGCCCGTAACCGATCTGCCTTATGGCATGCTTTTTCAAGCAAGCCTCCGGCAAACTGCTCAGGAATAGCAGATGGTAAACACGGTATCGTAGGTGCACCAATGCAAATACAATATAAAGAAACACACAAGTGTAAATAAAACAACATATCATGAGTTCGAGTCAAGTTCTCTAAATCCCCAGCGAAGTCGCCAGAAACAATAGACAGCCCCGAACTCGCTCTGTACGTGAGGGCGCGAATTGAGTTCATAGCTACTACAGTTCGGACTCCTGTCATGATTCTGAATCGAGTCTCACAAAGTGCAATGTAAGACTGATAAATCACCAAAGAGTCCAAATCTGGCAACTGGTTTGGAAAAATCGATTTTAATCAAAAAGTGCCAAACATGGATAGCTTTGCCAGATTTCAGAGTCGCTACCTAAATATTTTGTTTTGGGAAATTTAGGAAACCCTGACTCGTGCCTAAGGCCACGTGACCTTAATCACCAAAGTTGTCTCGGCTCGGGAACTTGGGTACGAGAGGGGAAAGTCCTGAAATGAGCACCCCCGCTCGCCCGATCAAAGGATCGGCCTCTACTAACATCATATGTTATTTTGAAAAGACATGTGTTCTTTTCCCAGTTTATTAGCTAACCTTACTATGTGATGCGCACAACATATAAGCATAGACTCAATCACGAGAATTGAAGCAAAACAATTCAATGTTTGTTTTTTAAAATGGTTCGAAAGTGGTACTCGCAAGTAGGCTAAAGCGCGGATTTGCCACCCACGAGTGGGCTTAAAACTCACAATCATCGAGTTGTTCCAATTCAGGCAATCAAACCTTCATCCACAAGCATTCATGCATTTAAACACTTAAGCACATAGCTTCATGGTAAGCATACTATCATGGCAGTCGCTTACACACATGCAAGGATGCTAAAGTGTAAACACTCGCAATGTACTCCGAGCCAAAACAAAAGCTAGTTAGAAAGCATGCATGATCCTAGCTATGTTAAGATGCCTAATGCAACACATGCAAAAATGCAACTAAAATAGGCTCGACTATCTAGAATGACATATGAATGCAACACTTGATAACATTCTTTGAAACACGTATTCGAGAAAGTGTATTGAAATACAATGCAATTTGAATGATGCGCTGAGCCCGGTGCATGCAAGATAGATGAATGATGTATGCATGCAGAGCATAAGTATGCTAATTGAAACATGCCCTAAACTAACCATCGAAAGCTAATAAGTAAAATGGAGAAAGAAATGGGGTTGGAAGACATGCATCACACACACGCACGCTTATTACGACATTTTCCCTCTCGACGTAGGGTCCGAATAATAAGCTAACTAGCTATGCTAATTAAACTAATTATTACAAACCAAAACTAATTAACTATTCCTAGTTAACTAATTGTTACAAAACAAATCAATTAATCCAGCACATTAACTAATTAAGTACAAAACCGACGAATTAGCTAACTAAGTAAAGCAGCTAAAGTAGTTAAAAGCGGTCCTCGGGGCGAGGGGTGCATGCATTCTCGATCGCCTCGCTCGGAAATCCATTGCTATGCCCAGAATTGCCTCTGTTTGCATTTGATTTGATCTCTGAAAAGTGCACTAACTTCCAGATTGCTTCTGCTCCAACATGGGGACCTCCTGGTGGGCTGCCGACCAGAAAAAGGGGGTTGCAGACTAGAAAAACTAGTTGTAGACTAGAAAAAAGTGGTCGGTCGACCACCTCTACTGGTCAGCCGACCAGTTGATTTGCCAAACTGGAGTTTTGCTGCAACAGAGAACAACAAGGGGCATAGCTGTGTATTTGCAAGATATGTGTGCATAACCACCCTTCCTATCATTTCTCAAGCTCAAGGGAGTGCGGCACTTGACTCTCGGGCCACCAACCGAGCATCACAGTGCACGATGGCCGAGAAGCCAAGTTTGTACAAGTCAATGTCAATGAATGTAGAAATAACACATAAGGGCCTCCACCACTATCATGCTTGATCAAGAAGGTCGGTGACCAAGAAATGCTACACGTTTCATCACTTTGAGTATGAAACGTGCGACATTCCTGGTGTTTGGATTAACGTCGAATCCAAACACATGCAACGCAAATAAGATGATCATCCTTTAATGCTAAAGTGACATGCGCAAGACTCTATCATGTAAGCAATGCATGGATGGCATGTTTAAAAGCTAAGGCATCAAAACTAATAGAACATATTACAAATGAGGCATGCACTATGAATCTCAAATGGTCAAACCAACCCTGGACAGAGGTCGAACATGCCAAAACAGTGGCTGAAATATGTTAAGATCAAGGCATACAACACAAGGAGAACATGCTAATTTGATGGCTCATTAACCATGCACAAAGACACAACTCTCAAAAGCTCTCAAGGAATGAAACACTACAACAAAAGTAACCTATGGTGACGAAAAGTAGTGAAGAAAATAAATTTTGTCACTGAATAAAAATAATCCGTGACGAATTATAAAATTTTGTCACGTATAATAAAAAAATAAAAATAATAGGTGACGAAATTTATTTTTGTCAACAAATACTTCTTTTTAGGTGAGGAAAAATTAAGTTTCGTCACCGAAGGTTTACCCGCTAATATTTTTTGAGTGGCGCCAAAAATTTAGACTTTTGGTGAGAAAAAAATTTATCACCAATTATAAAATTATTAGCGAGGAATACATTTTCGTCACCAATAATTATATATATATATATATATATTTTGAGAAACTTGATTTTAAATGTTTTAAGACCATTTGGTGAGAAATATATTTTTATCACTAATAATTTTTAATATTTTGAGACATTTTAGTGATGAAATTATTTTGTCACCAATTTTAGAAGAAAAATTTTAACATATTGGGCGGTCATGGAAAAAATAGACTACTAACTTTTTTTCCCCTTTTATTTTTGTTTATCAATTTTTCTCTCCTCTCTCTCTCATTCTCTCTCTCAAAACAAAAACACAAGTTAATTAACTCTCTAAACCTATGGTGACGGAAAGTAGTAAAAAAAATATTTCGCCACTAAATAAGAATAATCAGTGACGAATTATAAAATTTTGTCACATATAATAAAAAGTAAAAATAATAGGTGACAGAATTTATTTTCGTCAATAGATACTTATTTTTAGCTGAGGAAAAATTAAATTTCGTCACCAAAGATTTTCCCTCTAATTTTTTTTTGGTGACGCAAAAATTTTGAGATTTTTAGTAAGAAAAAAAATTTGTCACAAATTATAAAATCATCAGTAAGGAATATATTTTCGTTATAAATAATTTTAAATATTTTTTTCTAGAAATTAATTTTAAATATTTTAAAACTATTTAATGAGAAATATATTTTTATCGTCAATAATTTTAATATTTTAAAATTTTTAATGACAAATTTATTTTATCACCAACCAATCGTGAAGGGAGAACTTTGAGATTTGGCGGTAATAAAAAAAAGGAACCCTATTGATTAGGGATGGCAATGAAAATCTTACCCTATGGGTATCATGGAGATCCAATCCAAATATATGAATTTTTCCCTTTTTTTTAACCCATAGGATTAATTAAGTGGGTTTTTAAAATATCCATAGGAGATGGGTCGGGAATGGGTACCCGCCCATTTCCCCACAAGTTAGGGTTCTCTTTCTCAATCTCACTCTCACGGTTTCTCATTCCCATTCTCACATAGCAGCGAAGGCAACAATCACCATAGGTTTTGCGAAGGCAACGATCTAGCGGCGGCGATCTCCGTCGGCGTTACCCCGGTGGTTCTCCGGCGTGGTGAGTTTCTCTCTCTCGTTCTCTCTTTCTCTCTTGTTCTGTGTGTGCTTACAAATTCATCTTTTCGTCACTTTCTCAACTTCCAAACAGAGTTGTTGCTTCACAGTGTTTTTGGCACTCTTTTGCAATTGGCGAAACCTGTCTAAGAGACTTACGCATCAATCAGCAAAAAATACGGTTAGCTTCACAGAGTTGTTGCTTTGATTCATGGAAATTTTAACTCAATGTTGTTTAAAGCTATGGATTTAAATCAGTTGTGAATTCCGATGCATTTGGAAATTGTTAGGTTTGATTTCTCATGTGGAAGATGAAATTGATTTACTGTCTATTTATTTTCTTGGGACTTTGCTATGTTATGTTATGTTATGTTAAAAGGGTTTAGGGTCAAAATGGAATGCATAAAAGCTTTGTTACAAAAATGGCAATTGCCTCTACAAATGATCAAGATCAATATAGCTACTCCTTAAGTTTTTAGGCAAATAGGTTATCTCTGTTTTGATGATTGGTTACTTTATATAGTCAAAATAAAATGAGTGTTATAACATTTCCATTGAATAAGAAGAGAAAGAGAAGAGAATGTTGAGTGGAAAGTTGATCCCTTTTAGCTTGTAGAGACAGAAATAGGGGTTTTTAGAGATAGAGAGAGAGAGAGAGAGTCTTGGGATTTTAGGGATTGTTTCAGGTACTAATCCAATCTTTCAATTTTACTTTCATCAATTATTGATCAATACTGTTGAATTTTCACTTTGTTGTGTTGATCAGCTATTGAATTGGCTAATGCTCCTCTGTTCATGTAAAACTAATAAAAGAATGGATCCATTCTCCTAAGATCTGAAAAAATAAAATAAAACAATGAAAGAAAAGAAATAATAAGCCCCATATTTTTATTGTAATTACACCGACATCTCTTTTAGTAAGGTAAAGTGATTGGAATTAATGGACATAATGGTGTGAAGACACAAATAAACAAAGTAAAGAGGGAATTTGACATCACTACCTCAGACTATGATGATCAAGAAATTGCAGAGAACATAGCTCATAATTGTAGAGTTAATGGAATTTCTCCCGTCCTTCCTCACATTAAGCGTGAGTTCTTTTTCTCTTTCATACGATAAGGAAGATAGATCCAAGAAAATATTGGTGAGGACTATCAATAAGATTTGATGCTTTTGACCTTCATTCTCATGATTGGTGGAATTTTTTTATTTTTTATTTTTCATTGTAAAATTAGACTTAGGGAATGAACAATATGACATGATAGGTATAGTAGATCCCTCATTTGTATGTCTTTTAACTTTGCTCAATTGTTTGATGGATTGGGATCTGGTCATTGCTAGCGATATTTTATTGTGTAAGTTCCTAATCTGAAATTGGCTTCTAAACATTTGGAAATGTACTTTACTATGAATAGGCAATCTGACTTTCACTCAATACACCAGTATGTCAGACATATTTTCATCACTCTATTGTTAATGGAAAGACATTAAAGAATATGGGAAGTCTGGAGAAATGAGCTATAACTTTAGAAACAACATCGTGTATACATTTTTCTCTCAATCTTGCTGTCATTAGGAAGGTGGATTCTCCATCTCCATCTGAAATTGGCTTCTAAACATTTGTATATATTTTTCTCTCAATCTGTTCTTTCTCTCAGGTACAGTGGTCCCAAAGAGTGCCAATTCTCAAGCCAAAGGAAGGTGGATTCTCCATTGCCAATTACTTTCTTAATTAGGGGTATAGCTTCTCTTCTTAAACTGAAAAGTTTCCTCACTATCAAAGACACATTAGAAGGGACTTGCATAGTCTTGAAGCATCTAGATTTGATAATATATGTGTGAATCCACTTTACCCATAGGATATTTGACTTTTTGCATATAACCCAAAGAAGTTTCATAGTTGTAGCTTGATTCTAATGAATGATTGATTTAATTCACAGAACTCCTCCATTTTTTGGACAGAAAACTTGTTCCCAACTTACTTTAGCATATGTTATGTGGTTTTCAACCCCTAACCAAAGGAAGTCTCTCATAATGGCTTCTATTTCTTTGAAGATTTGCTAAGGAAGGATAAAAACGAAGGACCAATAAACTTATATGCTGCTGAAAAGAATAGATTGATAAAGTTGGAGCCTACCACCATAAGACAGAAATTTAGTTGTCCAACTGTTGATTCTATTCATCATTCTTTTATTAAGTTGCTCACACTCTGCAGCTTTTAGTTTATAGGAAATCAGAGGAAACAGTAAATAATTAACCGTCAATTTCCCTTCTGGTATTGGCAAAATGGATAAAAGATCAGACTTAGTTAGATTCATTACTAACTCCACAGAGGAAGGGAAAAAGAAAACTTATGTTTCTGAAGATTAGGTTGTAGGCTAGATAGAAGATGGAATTGAGATAACATACTCTTAATGATTTGGAAAGAGCCCCTGTTAGCTTCACATAGAATGAATAGATCATCAACAAATGCCAATTGAACCTAACATTTCCAATGGAAAGTAAAACCACCTTTTCTCACTCTTTGCTGCAGCATTCTATTGAAACACTCCATCACAATTGAGAAACAAGTAGGGGGACATAGGATCACCTTGCCTTGGACCCCCTTTTTGCCGGGAAATAATCAACTAATTCTCCATTTATTACTACTGAGTACATAACAGTGGAAATGCACACCTTAATCCAGCCAACAAACTGAGCAGGGAATCCCATGTGTCATAGATACCGATAACAAATTCCAATCTACAGAGCCATAGGCCTTGATTAAATCAATTTTGAACACACACCTTGTTGGTCCTTCATTTCTGTGATAAACTCTAACAACCTCTTGCATCAATAAAATGTTATCAAGTGAGTAGAAAGCTTATCCAGAACATAACTTTGGATGCTGCTCTAATCTTACACCTCATCCAGGGTGGAATGGAAAAAAACACATATATAGACTTGGGAGATTTTGTTTCTTGTTTTTCCTCAAAGTTGTTTCTCCCCTTTTCCACAAACCTTGTCCCAGTTATTTATTTTGGTTGAGTCACAAAGTTGATTGTCTTTTAGCCAAACTAGAAATTAGACAAATTTGGGAGGCAAGGAAGTGATACGTATGGCTGCATTTCTTTAAAATTATTGATATATTTTTAGCTCTTCTCCTTTTTGTCTAAATTGGAGAGGGGTTGTTGAAAATTGGATTGGCAACAAAACTGCAAGAGCCTCTATAGCTTGTAAATGCCAATGTAATTCTTTTTCTAGTTTTCTTCTTTTTCTAAAAGTCAAAGTCAAGTCTCTAAAAGTATAGTTTTCATTTTGCATTTCAAGAAGGTGATTCTATTTCTTTCAGGTTTCTGTCTGGTGGGTTTTCTGCTTTTTTTTTTCTTCTTCTTTTTGTTTATTATTATTTTTTTTAAGTTACTACAGAAATCTATCTATAGATTCTGTAAGTGTTTGATGCCATGTCTTTATGTCTGTTTTATTTTATTTTATTTTTGTTTCTTTCAATATTATTCATTTTGTGGAGTACCAAAGACTCATGTGTGCTGATTTGGATGACTATTGAGCTTGTAGATCTGTGATTATTCTCCTGATCAACATAGAAGCTTTGATGGAACTAGTAACTCTTTGGTAAGTTACTATAAATATTTTCTTTCATATCAGTAATTTCGGTTAAAAAAAATAAATATAAATATATATTTGCAGTGCTGGTCATGGGTAGAGGATATTCTTGAGAGAGAGAGAGAGAGAGAGTAGCTGATGATGATGCATAAATTACTACATAAAGGTAATTTCTCTTACCCTTAATGTATGCACTTATTGCTATTGGGTGGTGAAAGATCCACCAATGAACTCTCACCTATCTTTATTTTTAAGAGCCAAAAAAATCATGAACATGTTTAAAATAAAAAATAAAAAAATTCCTTATCAAAGAGGATTTGATCAAGGTTTTTGTTGGGTACAAATTCATTAACAAGGCGGTCTGGACCTTCAATGGTACAACCCAAAAGTCTTACAAGTTTTGTGTTGATTTGAATGTTGAACTTGAGCTCAAGAACAATTCTGGATTTTCCAGGTCATGAATCAAATGTATCTCAATGCTATATTGTATTTTCAAGCTATTAAATATATTCTGGCATTAGTGATAGTGATATATGATATTGCTGCAATCTTTTGGCATCTTCTCTATTTCCGTGTTGCTTTATCATCAAGGATCACCTCAACACTTTAAAGTTTTGGATTGTTATATGCATGTCTACTAAATTGGTTTATAAAATAAAATTATTTATATGTGAGTTTAGATGTAATTCATAATATATTAATGTTTTCCTTGTTTAATTTTTTTGCAGATTGGTTTCTGATGACGTTTATTAGAAGCATACTTGCAAATCAAGATCAAGTGTTGAATTTTTTTTCTTGAACTGATTCTTAGTTCTAGTTTTAAACCTAGTTGACTGATATTTTTTTTTGGACTCCGCGTTAGTTCATTTTGGAATTTGTTATGATGGTTTTTTCTATTATACTTAATGGATTATTATTAAATTTGTTTGATGGATATATTTTCATTTATGATATAAATTGTTTAGTGAATTATTTTGTGGAGTGGTGTATAATAGTTAGTAGATTTTTTAGTACATTTAAAAGGCTATTGGGATATGAGTAGGGATATTTGTGAAATAATAATTTAAATTGAAATATAAAATATGGAACAAGTTCAGTGACGAATTTTTTCGTCATTTGTACTTGTTATTATGACAAAGTGATTATTCGTCGCTAATAAACATTTTTTGTGACAAAATTTATTGTAGTTTATATATGAAATATTTCATTGATTTTGTTATTTGGTGACTAAAAATTTCGTCACGTATATATATATTTGTGGCGAAATATATTTCGTCACCCATGTATGACTTTTGAAGACAAAAAATTTCGTCACCTTTACATCTTACTATGACGAAATTATTTCCTCATCAATGATCAACATGTGTGACAAATTTATTCGTCAATTAAAGTTAAAAATATGGTACTGAATAACTATTTGGTGACGAAAATGAGAATTTTATATGACAAAATGTTGTTTTATTGGTGATAAAAAATTTCGTCACTGAAGTAATTTCATTGGTGACGAAATTATTTTTTGTCACGGTGGTTTTTAGTGACAAACATTCAATGACAAAACCGGTGACGAAAATATTTCCTCACAAATATCTATAGTGACGAAATTAGCTCTGTGGTGACAAAAAAATTTCGTCATTTAAGACCCAACTTGTTGTAGTGAAAGAAGTGAGAACATGACACACGTGCATGCCCCAAAATAACATGTTAAACATTGCCCAAACATGCAGCCATCACAAATATATCATAGTAGGGTGCTCAAAGCTCAAGACTAGCTAAGGTACTTGCACCATGGCCATATTAAGCAGGCCCCAAAGGGCCAAGATGACTCAATACAGTCCCAAGGCAGGTCAAAACAATGCCAAAACATGCATGGAGTAGAGCTAACACATGCCAGAATGGGAGGCATAAAGCATGACGCATACAAGGCCAATGAGTGGGATTACACTACATATACCAAAGCCAAGCATGAGGAGACTTCGCCAAGAAAAATAAGAGTTGTAACCTGGTAAAATAACACCAAAAACATGCTGAGATGGTAGCCCAAAAGCTTAGGCAAGCACGCATACATATTGGCTCACAAGTGAAATACAAGGCTCAACCCTCAAACACAACAAAGGGATGATAAATGCGAGAATATGGCAGAGCTACATGGTCTGAAATAACATGCCAAATGATGCTATGCCATGCAAAAAGCTCAAATCTGACATGCTAGAGGTCCCAAAGTGCAAGGCTAGCAAAGCCAAATACACTGTGGCTATGCAAAGCCAAGCATGCATGACCAAAACCACTCAAATTAGACCTAGGGCATGCTAAAACATAGCTACAAATGTGCTGGAGTAAAGCATACACATGCTAGATCAGTAGGTCAAAACACCAAACAAGCTAGGCTAGTGAACAACTTTGCACTATAAGTGCGTAAACCATGCAAGAGGTGGCTTTGTCGACCAAAATTAGAGCTAAGGCATGCCAAAATATGAGGAAAAGCCTGCTGGAGTGGAGCCAAAAAAATGCTAAAATGGTGGTCCAAAACATAGAGCATGCTAGGCTAACTACGAGGATTGCACTACAAGTACGTGAAGCATGTAAGAAGCAACCAAACCAACCCAAAATAGAGTTATAACAGGAAAAATAATGACTAAAAACATGCTTTAACTAAGTAAATTCAAGGCACAAAGACATGCTACTTTGCAAGGCTAGAAACAGGATGACACTACAAGTGCAATAAGCGTGCAAGAGGTGACCAAGACAGTTAGAAATAGGGTTATGGAAGGTCTAAAAAGTCACAAAAATGAGCCTAAACAAAGCCACAAAGAAGTTGAAACACATGCTCTTTTGATGGGCCACCAACACATGCAAACTAGAGACGAGGAGGGGGGACCACCCCCACCTATTTGGGACCTCAAAACATGGTTTTTGTCACTGAAAAACCTCTGAGTTTTGGTGGTAAAAAGGCCCAAAAAGTTGGATTTGAAGGTGGTGAGAAGTTTCACAAAAGTCCTCACAAGCCAAGGAACAAAAAGGGAGAACAACCCCCTAGCCAAACAAAGCACAAACCAACACTTTTAGGACTGAAAAACAGAGGAAAAATAGTGGTTTTTGTAGTTCAACACCACCCAAAAAACAGCCCCAAAGTAGTTGAAAATTATGGCAAAACAATAGTGCACAAAGAGCTTAAAAGGGATAAGGGGTTACCTTTGAAGCACAGCAGCAAATCAGCCTCTTTTCTGAGCCAAACAACCTTCCAACAGCCCAAAAATAGGTTTCGAGAGACCTCATCCCAATGGTGATCAACTTTTACTGAGGGTCTCTTTGCAAAAGTGTAGAGAATTCTAAGCTTAAGACTCAAAAACAAGAGGAGAATGAGAGAATTCTAGAGAGAGAGAGAGTTTTCAACTCTAAAATTTCTAGAGAGAGAGGACTTTTAGTGCGACAATCTCCTAAATTTTCTAACCCTTTGCAATATATGAGATATGGCTCAATATATAGCAATTCAAGAGCTTTGGGTCGGAAATATCTGAATTCATTACTTGCGTAGACCGCATGTTCTACTTGCGTAGACCGCACGCTCATGTCCAATGTCATTGCTTGCGTAGACCGCATGCTTGTGATCAAATTCATTTCCTGTGTAGACCGCACGCTCCACTTACATATTTGTACCTTCACAGCATTGTTATGCTCCCCATTTGCTTTGCGTTGTCACGCATTTCGAGTACACTATTATGCATATTGTTAACGATATTGTACCCGTTAAGTTTGTTTTCTTTGCAGGCACGATATTGTATGTACGGTTCATTTGAGGCTGGTGTAACCAGACGACCCGCACAGGTATTGTATCCTCCGAGTGAGGCGTATTGAGAATTACATAATTCTCTTACATCCTTTCTGCATTGTAGTGTAGTTTGGTATATGCTAGCTTAAAATTGTCGCATGTGTGATTCATTACAGCTTTCTTTGCATGATCATAAGCTATGCCCGGCTCTGTGCATTGTCTTGCATTTTGCCCCTGCCTTCGGGCGCATATCTTGTTTGTCTTGCATGTTTGTCTGAGTCTTCGGCCTTGTCAAAAATGGGTCGTCTCTGGGCTTTGACATTCACTCCCGTCATTGTTATGACTTTCGAGTTCTGTCAAAGAGGGGCAACTGTAGACACCCCATTTTTGACCGTCCTTAAGACTTGGACGTCACCATTTGAACACTCAGTGATCATCCTTGTTTGTGTTCGTTTGGAGTTCCCGGAGGTCTCGGCTACACGCCTTGCCTCAGGATCTCCGAACTCGACCGTTTAGTGTCTGGTTTTGCCCCAAACACTTCTGTTTTGCCTTGGAGGGGGAGGGAATGCCTTGTGAGGCATCCCCACACATCACCGGCCATGGCCACAGGCCACCGGCTGTGTTTTGTTTCCATCGGCAATCTATTTTGTCGGTCGGCACTATTTGTTGCCGGTCGGCACTAAATTTTGTCAAAATGGCAATTTTGAGTAGCCGACTACTATTCATCTACTTTATGTAGATATTTTGTGCCAGCTGTGATAGCTGGCACCAACTCTGCAACCCTCCATGCACGTGTATGGAGGGATTTCCCTCTAAGCAAGCTTGTTGTGTAAGCTTTGCAAGAGGGACTTCTATAAGAGGAGAGGTCTTCTCCTTGTTCTAGGTTAGAAACTTTGAAGGCAAAACCAGAGCTTATACATATAGATACACCCACTCTCTATATTTCCCTCTCTCCTCCCTTGTGTGTGTTTCTTGGCCTAAAAGTGTGTTTTTACTTTACTTTTGCACCAATACACACACTATTACACCTAGCTCCGAGATTGAGGGACTTGGGAGGTTGATTCTTGGGTTTTTGGACTGATTTTGATCAAAATAAGAGGGCTGGACCATTTGCTCTTCAAAGGATCTTCAAGGGTGAGCACTTTACTTTAGATTCCCCAAACTTGCAATAGTTTTTAACCCATCTTGCTTGCTGATCTAGCTTTTGTGCATAACATGAAAAAGGCTTACATTTTCATGCTTTAGAACTTTCATTCAGGTTGTTTTGTGGTTTGAGTGCAAACTCACCTTGTTAGGCTTTATTTAGCCCCTTTTGTGCTTCCCTTGTGAGGCCTTGTTTGCTTGAGTGTGTTGGTCTTTTCACCACTAAAAACCAGTTGATTTTCAGTGTTAAAGAAGGTGGTTTGAAGTCTTGCATAGGGGAGGGACACCCCTCTCCCTTCATTGTCTTATTTCCTTGCATTTTGGCTTAAAAAGGTAACATGCATGCTTGATCATTTTTGGCCTCATTTCAGAAGTTTTTTGGGTGTTTTAGGTCATATGTGATCTCTGTTTTTGGTCGGATTTGTACCCATTTGCATGCTTAATATACTTGCTTTACATTCCTCCATTTGGCCTAGAATTGTATCTTGTGTTTAGGCCATGATTCTTGCATGTGTTGGCTTGATTCCATGAAGATGTTGGCATTATTTCACCATGTTTAAGGTCTGTTGGCCATTCATTTCAGTCATACTTGCCTTGTTTGGTGTCATCTCTTTGTGTTTTGGCTTGTAAGCCTTGAGCATATTGACCTCTAACACGCGTAGTTTAGACCATCCTCATGGTTTGCCATCATTTAGGGTCACATTTCAGCCCATAAATCATGCTTGCATATGTGACCTCTTTCATGCTTTGAGGGTGTGCCCTTTTATGCCTAGAAATGAGTTTTGGAGCATGCATTTCATTGGAGCCACCTAAGCTGTCATATTATGAGGTTTTTGGAGTCTATTTTTGCATGTAAAAATTTTGTTTTTACTTGTCTAATTCATGCCATGATTGGTCATGTTGGTAGGAGTAAAGTGCCCCCTTTTGTGCCTTAACCTTAGGACCAT